ATATAAAAGAAATCAGAGCATATTTTGAAATAACTAACCAAATCATTATCTTTCTAAACAACTATCAGGACAAAACCTAAAACAAGAAAACTAGGTCAAAAGTTGATAATATCCATCTATAATAAGGCTTTTTCTTACTATATTTCACAATCACTGACTGATAATGATGATGAAATAATAGGAACATCATTATCGTAAAAAAAAATAATAATAGCTATAATAATCAAAATATTCATTATAATATCAATAATCATTAATAGTAAAAAAAAATTGATGATGATGATGGATGATAATGATAATGATGATGATGATGATGATAGTAACAACAACAATAATAATAATAATAACAATAATGATGATAACAATACTACTAATAATAATAACAATAACAATAATGACAATGATGACAATGATAATAATGATGATAAAAATAATAATAACAATAATAATAATAACTATTATCATTATTATTATTACCATTATAATAACAATAATAATAATGATAATGATGATAACAAGAGCAACATTAACCTGTCTGGGAAAAAAAGCCCCTCAAACGTTGGTTAAAAAACCCTTTTTATTATCTGTTATAAAATGCCTGGCCACAAGTGCTTATGCAATCTTATTGAAACCTAGAATATTCTTGTGAAGCATATAATGAATGACAACATTCTTGGGCTGCAATGGACTCAAGAAAAATTGGGAGGATGAATAATGGTTAATGGTTGAAACGAATAAATGTGATAGACATTAAAGGCGATATAGGCTTATGGTAAAGTAATGTGGCAAAAATGGTAAAGAAGAGTTAAAGATGTCAAAGATTGGAGAGGTTTCTAAGCAACTTCTAAAACATCAGTATCTTCATCAAATAATGAATTAACAATGGTCTTATGTTCTTCTTTAGCACACTTCTAGTTTCTACTAATCACTGTAATATCCTACTTTATATATTCTGTGAAATTGGATTCAAATTTTGTATAAGCTTGAAGCAGCCATACAGTCAAATTCAGTCACAATATCATGACTCATGGTGCTCAGATACCTGTATTCTGCCCATACAATCATGGATTCTAAAAATAATATGGAAAATATGTTTAACAGGCTCTTCTGAAGCATGACTAGCCAAATGCTTACATGGCTTATAAGACCAACTGATATCTACTGTAATCATGACCAGCTGACTGTATACTCTGTCAATATAATCTCACTGTATATAAATCTAACATGTCATACTGTGTACAATACCCACCAGCAACATCCATCCACCTAAAAAAAAATTCATTTAATGCATGCATAAGGATGTGCCTGTGTGAGGAGACCCTACACACCTGTATGAACCATTACAAGAGGATGGGAGGGGATGGGGGCCGTTCCTCCAAGTCTCCACGGCTATGTTTGTCTTCAACACTGGTGCCACTAAACCACTGTACAGGTCTGTTAATATGGTGCCTTTGTATTAGTTTTTCTACTTGAAACTAGAATGATTATTGATTCTGTTAACAGGAAAGAAGGACTTTTAAACTGAGACCTTATTTGTGCTATAGTCATGCAAATAGTCATTAAGTGTATGAACAGCATACATACCTAGCGATTTCCAATTATTAAAAAACAAACACAATTAATCATTAATCTACATACTTCCATACTTGATAAATGCTAGATCATAGATGTAATCTCTTCTACTTTCTTAATCATCTTATTTCATTCACAGTGTGCAAGTGCAAAGTGTTATAGCTCTCTTTGGTGCTTTATGTATAATTCTTACACACAAGACTAACCAATTACTTAGAACACTGTGCCATACAAAAGAAATAGTTCATACCGTCATTATATTTCCTGTATTTTGCAAATGCCATAAAGCGTTTTCCACGTTGAGAAATGAGATTAACTATCCGAAACCACTGTGGTCCTTGAGGGTGTTGATCCCCCCGGATGACCCTGTCCAGCATGGCAAATTTTTGTTCCAGGGCACTGGGCATATTAGAGGAATATATGAAAGGTTCATTGTAAAACAGCAGCTGACCTGGGGGCAAAGAACATAGATCAGTCCTGCATAAAAGAAACTGCAAAGTTCAGTGAACATCTTGCATTGTCTACTAATTCAGTCTCATTTTAACATCATCTACATCAATGTATCATAATACTGAGCCTAGTGACTAACAGTGGAGTGTTATAAATGATTAAAAAAAACAAAATACAATCATGTATACTTAAAGGAATGCAAAATATAAGAAGATCCTTACCAACATTGTTAGCTTGGTGTGCAGGTAAGCTGATACACAACATGGTCTGCCCATAATGTTGCCCTGAAGACGGGTACGAGTAGCCATCTTCTGGCGGTGGAGGGTACTTGGGCACGGAGTGAATGAGCCAAAAGCCTCCAAGTTCTGTCAGTAACACCACTCCTTTGGTGTGCCCTTTGGTGAAACTTTTGGTGTTGTTTGGAAACTCATCATTATACATAATATAGGCTGTATTCTGGAAAGTAAAGAGAAATGTGGAATATGAAGTAAACTGAAAAAATATACATAGCTAGGTAGATATGGATATACTGATATCTACATATACATACATCAGCCCAGCAATAACAGGAACAAGTACTGTAAAATCTTACCTTCAGTCGCTCAGGATCACTGTAGAGCCGACTAAGGGTCCAAGCTAACATAGACCGTTCATGGTTAATGCTTATGTTGCTAAGGACCCAGCCACTCGCTGAATCACTGTACTGACTGAGCACACTTGACACTCCTCCACTCTGTAGTCTGTTGGACACAGATATTCTTTATGTAAATACAAGAAAAAATACATAATACCACAGCTATATCAAATGTAAGAGATGCATCTCAACACATAATTGAATTTTATCTCAAACAAACCTGACTGCAGTTTCTGGTGTAAGATACATGTAGGCTGACCCTTCACGCAGAGGACCAAAGGGTGAATTTCTGTCTTTTGGCAACTTGTAGACAACGAACCTGTAAAGCAAATAAATGATAATAATAACAATAATGCATATCACTTAAGGAAAAGCCACTGACAGAACAGAAGAGAAAAGAGCCAGAGGAAAGAAGGCTCCAATATTAGGTTCACCACAGTGATCCCATTCCCTAAAATTGCTGGAGGGTTAGGTACCTCTTCCTTTAATTGATTTTTGTTATAGACTTTTATGGTTTCAGATCTTGGTTCACAAACTTTCGCAGTTTCAGACCTGTGTGTGTGTGTGTATATGTATGTGTGTAGAGTGTGTGTGTGAGTGAGTGAGTGCATGAGTGTGAATGAGTGAGTGAGTGAGTGAGTGCTAGAGTGAGTGAGTGAGCGAGTGTGTGAGTGAGTTGAGTGAGTTGAGTGAGTTGAGTGAGTGAGTGAGTGAGTGAGTGAGTGAGTGAGTGAGTTGAGTGAGTGCGTGAGTGAGTGCGTGAGTGAGTGCATGTGTGTGTGCATGTGTGCGTGCAATTTTGGTAGTAGATGAAGAGTAAGGACCAGTACATGAGCTAAATGACTTGTTATTCAATCAGGTCTTGGTGACATTAATGTGTAAAAAGGGAGGAGGTAATTTGCAAAAAGACTTCAACTTTCAGGTGTGATAAGATTGTTTAGCTCGTTTTAGATTTATTTGTTTCCAAAACAATTTATATATAAAAAAATTATCTAACATCACAAATAAAAAATTGGTTAATTTTTATGGTATGGATGCACTATGTAAGGGCAAATTGAATATGAAATTCTTATAGAGGAAAAAAAAAGTTGCAGGCATTGGTACATGAAATAATTTGCAGACAAAAATGGTAACACTACAAATAAAGGAAAAAGATTGCTGAAAATGTCACTCTCATCCTAAGCCCACTCAGTGCTCCAAGTTTCAGCTCTATCTTGCCATGCGGAGACAATGGTGGTGAAAACAATGTTTCCTTGGAGGGTGTTGGAGGGCAGAGCCCCTCCATCAACCCTCCTTTTGGGCAGTACCCAGTCATGGCAACCTGGATTGATGAATAAATTTTTTGATGTGGAGTTGTGAACTTGGTCTCTGGCAAGTGCGTCTATACTGTAAAGAACTACCAACAAATTCAATAAGCAGACACTGTTGCTTCTTTATCTGATGCCTCAGCAAAGGACAACAAACATCCTTAACATATATTCTAGAAGTCTTAGGTATATGTCTTACGTATAATGTCAAGCAAAACAAGTGAGATGAAACAGGTGTCTTGACATGACTTGCAATTGTTTGGTATATTAAATTCTCTTATTTGCATCTTGTGACTGAGTAGTATTTCACGGAAATTGTTCCAAAAGTAAAGACTTACAGCTTTTGTTTTTAGGAATCCATTGGTGAATAGACTATTTAGCTTATAACAACGAAAAAGGGTGATAATTCTTTCTCAGACTAATGTACCTATTCTCTGGTTAAAAATGTGGTATCTTCTTATAACTATAGGTATACCACAGATGTATACTGTTTCTATAGTAAGGGTAGGCATGTTTTATGTGAAGAATATTGTTAGGTAAACCAAGCTAAAACAATAAATCTGTATAATAAATTTGTAACAAAGAAAAAGAAAATAATAAATAAAATCACCACAAATATGCCTACAGCTGATCAGTTCATGTCTAGGGCTATACTTTCCATCAATGACAACTTATGAAGGAGGGAAAGTCTATGGGAACCCACCTCCAGTTTTCACTAGCAAAATCAGATCACCTTGCATGACGTATGGAGAACTATGTAACTATATCATCTGATGTTTTGGAAGATATACTTATGTTGTATCCTAAATTTGGACTGTAGTATCACATGACCACATATCAATGTAAAAATGCCTTTCCACACCCAAGCTGTTCACCGGCTTGGTAGATGAGTAGATGAATTACTGTTGATTGTTCTTTTCTTTTAAATGATATAGCACAGATCATAACAATGTTATTGCCTAAATTTCCTATGTCATACTATTATATAATGCTATGACCATGCATCAAATGTACCACAGCTTTCCCACACCTGTGCA